TGGGATTATTAAGAAAAAGGGTACCAAATTAAAGCATGATATGTTGACGTCTTTAATTACTGCTAATACAGAAAGAGATGTAAATAACATAAAAAGTGTTAAAGGTGGCTTAGACCATTGACAGATGTTGAAATTAGAGGTAACTTGTTTGATGCTTTCTTAGGTGGAACTGATACTGTAAGTATTATTATATCGTAAATTTAACCTTATTTTACCATTAACATAATTTTTACTATATACTAATTATTTTATTAAGGTTTCAACTTCATTCGCTATTATATCCTATTATCTCGGTCATTATCCTAAAGTTAAACAAAAGATGATCGCTGAAATCGATTCGATATTTCCTCCAAATGCACCACTTGATATGAAATACAGCGATCTCTTAAAATTAGAATATTGTGAAGCTGTAATGAATGAAGTTAGTCGAATTAAACCTACAGCAAATGAATTCCCAAGATATATTGAAACCCCTTGTGAAGTAGCTGGATATCAATGGGATGCTGGTGTAATGTTTCATGTAAACATTAATGGTGTTCATTCGCACAAAGATCATTGGCCGAATCCAGAAATTTTTGACCCTGAACGATTTTATAAAAAAGATCCTAATGAAAGACATAAATTTTCTTTAATAACATTTGGTGGTGGATTACGTAATTGTCCTGGAAGAAAGTTAGCAACAATTGAATTACTTTCTTTAATCGTATTGATATTTAGAAAATATGATATTGAGTTGGTTGATATGAATGCTCCATTAACGACTAAATCTTCATTAGTTAATTCATGTGAGGAATTGAAAGTCAGAATAAGGCCTAGAAATTAATTGCTGCTGTCATTATCTCTTTGTTATACTTTTTAGCATCTAATAAAAAAAATTTTTTTTGCTATTAAATATAATGTCATAATATTTGATTTCTTGATTGTCAAGCATTGTAGTTGTTGAGTCGTCAAAATGTACCGCTTCATCTTTTCAAAATTATTTAATCTCATTCGATCTCATTCAATATCGGTAAATATAAGCTTCTACTAAAATTGCATCTGAATTTTCAACAGACAAAATGCATAATATTTTACGAATTAATATTTCAATGAGTTGTGGGGTATATAAAAACTTTACTGTTTTGATATCGTAATTATCAAATCATGAAAATAATATTTATCAAAATCATCTAAATCTTATTAATGTTACAAAAAACGAAAACTATAACGCAGATTTCACAAAAAAAAAAAAAAACTAAGAATTTCAAGAAAATTGTCAGAATTACGGGTTAGGAATAATTTTAGAAATAAATAATCTAATAAATTAAATGTAATCTCTAATTATCTACTTGACAAACTTGTTAAAGTGGCCAATTTCAGTGAAAAAATATTGATGTAAATTCTCGAGTTGTGTGTATACAAACAGCTATCTTAGAAACAGATACTCTCAGGATAAAAACAATATTTGACATTTTGTACATAAAAATTAACACAAATAACAAAAATTTTCACATTTAATTAAGAACAAATACAGTATAATAAGCTTTTACTATCATATGATTTTGCGGTCCCATGGTTGCATCATACATAATTAGGAATTACCACACTATCTATCGGTTCGCTGGAAAACATCTTTGATAGCCTTTCGGTAATTTATTGCGTGTTGATCGACTTGCTATTGTACACATTATCTGGAAGTTTAGGTGTGACAATAAAACTAGTACTATATTTATTATTTCATCAGCTTGTAAAAATTGATTTTTGATTTCGCTAACTTCGCCTAAATTTAATTCATTGATCCAAATTTCGAAATAAAACTTAATTAGTTCAGCATCAGGTCTTTCATTAGGATCAGAATTAGGGTTGTAAATTTACAGTAAATTTTAATTTTTTTATGTAAGTTATAAGCATGTAACTTACATGTAAATATGTAAGTTAAAAAATATAATACTGTATAATATAACTATAATTTTTGCTAGAATAATGATTCTCTAGAGCTATATAGATTTTATAAATAAAAGTTAAATTTACCAACTTTTTAATAATCAAATTTAAATAAAAGTTTTTTATTTATTTTGTAAAGCTTAGTAGTTTCACAATTTGTATAGTTCTAAAAAAGCAAGTTTTTATTGTATCATATATAAACATTATATAAGTATACATTAATTTGATTGGTTAATTTATTGTATATATTATAGTATTGTAACCGTTGAATGGGAGAGCTAATAAAATAATACGGAAATGATGCCAATCTAACTCCAACGGTGTACGGATA